CCCATTCCGCACTTGCATGATTTCTCTCTAACACTGCAAGGTAAAACTATTTTCTCCAAAGTGGATTTAGTCAGAGCTTATCACCAGATACCAGTCGCTCCTGAGGACATCGAGAAGACAGCTATTATAACACCTTTTGGCTTGTTTGAATTCTTACGAATGCCTTTCGGGCTGAAAAACGCTGCACAAACTTTTCAGCGCTTCATAGACCAAGTCACGCGGGGCCTTGACTTTGTGTTCGTTTATATCGACGACGTACTAATTGCTAGCAAGTCGAAAGAGGAACATAAGAATCATCTTAGCACTTTGTTTTAGCGTTTCGAACAGTGTGGTGTCGCTATAAATCCTAAGAAGTGCATTTTCGGTGCCTCTTCTATTCAATTTCTGGGACACTACATAACTGACAAGGGAATCAGGCCTACTGAGGAAAAGATAGATACAATAAAAAACTTCCCCCAACCAGACTCTTTGAAGAAAGTCCGACAATTTTTGGGGATGTTTAACTTCTATCGACGTTTTATTCCTTCGTGTGCCTCTATCGTCCTACCTTTAACCGATCTCCTTAAAAGTGATCCTAAAATATTTCAATGGTCAGAGCAAGCACACGAATCTTTCTGCGACGCTAAAGACGCTGTATCTAAAGTCGCTATGTTGTCTCACATCAACCCCGACGCATCCCTTATCTTGTGCACAGATGCCTCCCAAGTTACTTGCGGGCGCGGTGTTACAGCAGAAGATTAATGGTGACGTTACCCCACTTGCTTTCTTTTCGAAGAGGTTAGAACCGGCTCAGACACGTTACGGTACTTTTGGGAGAGAATTGTTGGCTATATACCTAGCAGTCAAACACTTCAGTTACTCACTACAGGGTCGGCATTTCACTATTTTTACTGACCACAAACCTCTGTGCTATGCTTTCACCACTTCGCTGGATAAACATTCCCCAAGAGAAGCCAGACAGTTAGACTATATCTCCCAATTTTCAACTGACATACAGTACATCAAAGGGGACGCAAACGCGGTAGCTGATTCTCTTTCAAGAGGTGATATACACCAGCTTGAAACTTCAGTGGACGTCAGTCTTGATCGTATGGCTCAGTTACAAAGAGACGACGCAGAACTTCGAAATTGTCGCAGAAACTCTTCCTTACAGCTCAGGGACGTACCTATTCTCTTATCAGATGCCACTATAGTTTGTGATGTATCTACCGTCACTAATCGTCCGTTTGTTCCTCTCCAATGCCGAAGAGCTTTATTCGACCACTTACATTCGCTCTCTCACCCTGGAGTACGTGCCACCGTCAGACTCATCAGCGAACGTTTCGTGTGGCCTAAAATGAACTCTGACATTCGGAGATGGGCACGAGAATATTTCCAATGCCAACGCTCCAAAGTACATCGCCACACTATCACAACGCCGAAAACGTTTGATTTACCGGACAGGAGATTTCAGCACGTTCATATAGATATTGTAGGACCATTGCCAACGTCAAGAGGATATACACATATCCTGACAGCCATTGATAGATTTACTCGTTGGGCTATTGCATGCCCCCTGAACGATATATCTGCCGGAAATGTTGCTTTGGTTTTCCTCGACCGCTGGGTGTCAAATTACGGTGTACCAACTACTATTACATCCGATCGAGGTGCTCAATTCCAGTCGACGCTGTTTCGTGAACTGACGAGACTCCTGGGAGTTAAACATATCTCCACAACAGCCTACCATCCGGCAGCGAATGGTCTTGTGGAAAGATTTCACAGACAACTGAAAAGCTCCCTGATGGTACAGAATGATGCATCTAAGTGGAGTGAATACTTACCCCTGATTTTACTTAGCATACGATCAACTGTTAAAGAGGACCTTGGTTGTACACCCGCACAACTAGTTTATGGCACTACTTTAACACTACCAGGACAGCTAGTAGCCTCTCATGACTCCCAAAATGTGAATATTTCTGAGTTTTCTGATCAACTGACCAGACGAATGTCACAACTTCAACCAATAGCTCCGAGACAGTGTCCCCGCAGAGAAAACCTAAGTAGCCATCTACAAACCTGTAAATTTGTCTTTATACGGATCGACAACGTCAGGAAAGGGCTACAACCTCCATATGAAGGTCCATACCCAGTACTGCATCGCGCGGAATAATATTTCACAGTGACCAAAGAGGGTAAAAAGATGACGGTCTCCGTGGATAGACTCAAACCTGCTTACACAGATGGCGACGACATCCCAACAGCGACTTCAGCGGACAAACAAGAAATCGCCAAAGCTCCAGAGGTGCCAATAATGCTACCTCCCCCTTGCATTACTCGTAGTGGCAGACGGGTTAATAAACCTGCCCGTTTTGTACACTTTACTGATTAATACCTTTAAAGTTGTAACAATTTTTTTTACGTATACATTATTGATTATTGTTGTTAATTATTGACTTACGTAGTTTATTTGTGTCAGGTACGACATCATTTTTGTTCCGAAGCATTGCTATTTTTTTACTACCTCAGTACTGTATATGTGTATATATGTATTCACAACTATTCCCCCATAATTACTACTATATTGGTTAGCGTTTTAACGGACATTATCTTTATTATTATTATTATTATCAGTGCCATTCAGTTTGATGCCATCGTTCCAATTAATATTGATCTCTTTCGCAATTTTGTTCTTTCATGTGTCACATAAACGGAGCTGACGTATACTCACCTGTGTTTATTAAAACAATATTTTTTTTGTTTTGTGTGCGTGTTCACTCTCCGTAATATGTATCCATTATACTCCCACCCACTTCCAGTTCAGAAGTTGATGTCGAACTATGCACAAAAGCGTAAAAAAAACTTTTCCATTTTTTTTCGTATTCCCATAGTGTTATGTAGCATTATAATCACTTTTCTTCTCACCATTGTACTGCAAATCGTCAATAGCAGTCCCTCCGGAATTCTAAGAGAGGGAGCCGTGTGGCGGCCTAAAAACATATCAAATTATATGTTCACGGAAAAATAAGGAATTCAACGTTGAACCTGGAACCGCGCGCAAAGAAGAAATCGGTTGTTCTCTCCGGCTGCTCACTCAGCACATCTGCCGACCAACTCTGTCTCACACTGGTTGACATATCCCCATCAAGACCTTTGCTCCTATCGGCTTTACTCTACGCGGAGACCTCCGACGGTTGACAGCTCTAAGGTGTACTGGAGGATTTGTATAATCAAGAAAAGGACAATTACATTCCTATAATTTCGTACGTCTATAATTTGTGTATTTTGTGACTATTATAGTTTTTCTTCAAATAACCTCAGTCCTTTTTGTGTATATTAACTTAAGTGAACTGAATATCTTATATACACGTATTTGTTAGTACCTGTTCTGTCCTTTTAATTGTGTGTGTATACTTACCTAGCTGCTAGGTCCACTACAAACTAACTGTTCTTCCAAGCTGCAGTTAGTAGCGATGTGCCACAAGATACCGTATTTAACCCACTTTTATTTATCCTGTTAACGGACGAGTCATTGGGGATCACAGTAATTCCCATAGTAATGTACACGCGTGCTACAAAGGTCTGTAAATAGTTGAGGGGTAACACGGATATGTCTACACCGCGAACAATTCTCAATAATGAATTATGCTGGCCCATTGAATGGAAGTATTCCATCAGCGTAATGAAGTCCGGAATCACATGCATCATACAAGCAAGTGTCAATGCATGGAACATAGAAGAAGTTTCGTGACCTGCAGTATACACATACTGGTATTTAACTGTTAGCAGGTTATAACATAAGAGAATGATGTTATTATCATATACCATCCAGACAAAGGCGGGGGTTTTGTAGTTATGAATCGCCAAGATTATAATGATATAATCTCAGTTGTCCTTCGTGACCAAATGAAATTCGCCAAACCCGATGGTGAAAAGAATAAGACACATTTAATTGAAAATCAACTGACTGATGTCTTAAAGAACATGAGGAATAAGTCAGTAATGTCTTTGGAAATACATGAACGCATCCGACCAGCAGGCTCCATGATACCACGTTTGTATGGACTGCCGCTGTCCAATCCTGGATATGGCGGGTTCTCCTTATCACCGAATCGCTCAGTGGCTGGCTGAAATACTGGAACCAGTTAGAAGGCAAGTATCTAAGTTTTCCATTGATGATACGTTTAAATTTATTGATAGCACTAAAGGTTATAATGTCTCAGACAAAGTCACGTTCTCATAAGATGTGACGTCACTATTTACCGATGTTCCTATCATGGAAACTGTCTGCTATTTATGTGATTATATTGATACACATGGTTTAGAAATAGGGTTTCCGACAATCCATCTCAAAGAGCTTTATTGAGATACACGTTGAATGTTCAGTTCACCCTCAATAATGAGATTTTTAGACAGAGAGATTGCACTGCCATGGGATCACCACTAGGTCCTTTACTGACTAATTGTTTTATGGCAAAGTTTGAGGATTCTCAACCTAGTCAAACCATCGGTCATTTCAACATTTATAGAAGACACATAGACGATACTTTTGTTATCTGCGATAATAACGTGATTCTTGATGATGTCTTGTTTGCTTTCAACAACTACCATCCTTCTTTACAATTCACCATAGAAAAGGAATCTGAACCAAGTATTCCGTTTCTCGACGTGTGCCTTAGTAGACGTAATGACGGATCTCTCAAAAGGTCTATCCACTGGAAAATGTCCATGGATCGGACAACTAACTAAATTTTATTGTTGGGTGCCTGTCTCCAGGAAAAGGAACCTAATTCATTCGCTCCGCTTTAGGATAAGACACATTTGTAGCCAAATATCTGAACCCGAATCTTTCCTTCACATGGGATTGTAAGCTGATGGAATTACCAACCATAGCATATGATTTCAGTTGGAGCACTGTCTAGAAGGCCAAAACACCTGCGATTGTAATATTATGGGAAGTGAATTTTAAAGGAAGCTTGAAGATTGAAACGCTTGACCTCGGGAAGAGAGATTACTTTGATATCTGAAGGTCACTGCGTTCAGCTGACTGTCGAAATGCCGATGTATGAAGTACTCTCTAGACAGGCGACGTGCCCAACGTGTTCAGGGGCAGGATATGTACCGAAAGGTACTTAAGGTTTAATTCATGACTAAATTTTCCAGATTCAAAGGCAGAATATGTGGCCTTAATTCCTTTAACGGACAGACGACTACGACCACGCAGAATGTGCCTCAAGTTATTCGGCGCCGTGGTAGTATGCTCTTTAACTTTTGTCCTCCTTTTGATATTCCTTTTCCCACGAACAATCTCTATTAGCAGCTCAGTATACAAACTATCACCGATAACTGCTATTGTTAACAATGAAAATTCTGTGATATATCTCACTGTGAATGTATGTTCATTATAGATGACTTACGAATGCTAATTAAGAACCAAATCAACGTTTCAAACCCAAACTTTGTCCCGGTAACAGTTAACAAAATCACTGTATCTCCGAAATATCGTTCGGTTGACTTACAAGAAACCGTCTCCAATACCACCTGGACAACACCACTTCGTTCAAAAACCTTATTAAACGTAACGACAATGTTATACTTTGAGCACAAGCATTTCGATGTAATGTAAGTGAGCTAATGGTTTTCAACTTCAGTTATTATTTAATGTGTGGAACCTTCAGTATACTTTAGGTTCGCTGTTTGTTTTATCAAAGAAATTAATCCACATAAATGGCTTAAGCAAAGGTGGTTTTCAGATGTCCATGGCTGCTCAGTTTAATTGCATATAAGCCTAATAATCCCAATAAATCACTCTATTGCACTTGTGTGAGTTGTGATTTGTTGGTCCAAGTCAGATTTTTAATTGATGGGTCATAGTTCCGAATCCCACTTCTCCTATAGATGATTAAGAACTCAGGTAGTATCGCTAATCCTTCCTCAAAACTGTTGTGGCTCATTGCCAAATTCATGAAAATGCAAGCACTTGTTGGTGATTAACCTCCATCTACTTATCTAAGGACTCATGTTCTAAATAATCCTTTTCTTGCACTGATCTTTGTTGTGTCCAGCAGGATGACCGTTAAGTTATTTGTATTCTTCGGTGTTTGTTATATTTTTTTCATGCCTTATGCTAATATTAAATATTTTTGAGTGTCAATTTTATGAGTTGTATTAGATCACTGAGGTGTTTACAAACGTCTAGATTTATTGTGTTATTGATATAAAACTTGGGAACTGTGGTAGAGTATAACTCCATTACGGATAAGATTTTATTTTGATAAATCACACAGTGTTGCACAGTAGTATTAACTGATCACGTTTTGAGCACAAATTATTGTAACTCATAATCATACCAAGTCACTCACATAACTTTTTGCTTGATTTATTTGCATGAGTAAAATTGATTAGACATTTGAATAAAATCAATAAAAGATAAACGATGTTAAAATGTATTCAATTCACGTTATGACATTCTAACAAGTTTATTTTTACTGTAAAAAATATCTGATTGTATTTGATTGATAACACTAATATTATTTCCGAATATACTTTATCTTATATTGATTTTATTCAAATGTCTAATCATCAGTTTCACTCATGTATATAAATCAAGCAAAAAGTTGTGTAAGTGACTTGATATGATTATGAGTAACAATAATTTGTGCTCGAAACGTGATCGGTTAATACTACTGTACGAAACTGTGTCATTTATAAAAATAAAATCTTATCCATAATAGATTTATTGTGGTTAGTCCTATAAACTCTACTATTTAGTTATGAGTCTTAAGACTTATTTAAGCTTCTGTTTACTGTGGCCTACATGCATAGCGATAATGCAACCGAAATTTCAAGATTTAACTAGCCTAATTTCATTCGATACTCAAAGGCGGACGTCTTTATTCACTATCTTTGGAGTTCTAAAGATCACTACTCTTCATCGAACTGTTCCGTCTTATTCATTTTCGTCTCTTGTGGTATCTGTCTATTTGTCTTATTTCCTTTTTGCTTGTTAGCTCAGAATGTTTCAAGTTGAAGTGACTCAAAGTTCTGTGTTGATCCATAACCATTCAGTTTGGTCTTACTGTTGTGAATAGTAATATGTTACAGATGTATCATACTTGGTTTATCCAATGGCAATGGCTGGCGTGGAGGTTGTAAGATGTATTCGTCAGGGTTATGAGCAGTCAAACTGTCATATCTTGTTGTACTGACACAAAAAATATGAGGAGTATAAGTTCATAATATATCTTGTACAGTCCTATTATAAATAGAGTATCACTAAAAGATATAAACATCATGAAATCTAACGTAGTTCTTCACTGTTCAGATAAAACAAGATTCAACTCAAGAATTACATTTAGATTCGTGCACTAAGTGGTAGGTCACATCTGTTTGATGATGATGGAAATGAAACGTAATCCAAACTTAAGACCCCCTATGCTCAAAAGTCAGTCAGTGCGGCGCTCCTTAAGAGTTCACATTAAGATATTGAAGAGAAAATTAACACGGAATAAAACAACAGAATAAGGTCACTGTAAGTTGACTCAAAAGTATGAAAAACAATAAAGATATTCAGATGGTAGTAGTGTGTGCATTTAACTACACACGATTGTCTGTGAGTAACAACTGCACACTTTCTTGTTTATGTCTATCCATCTAAGGAAAGTCAAAGATTTTAAAATTTTAATTTAAAAGTTTAAAAGTTGTTGAGTGCTGAGTGTATACTAAATATGTCATATAGCGAAAAAATCCAGGAAATAATCAACGCAAAACTTGATATCAGTTCAACTTGTTACACTTCGAGTTAACATGCAGGAAGGAAATAACGTGGAATAATCCGATGATGAGTGAATATCTCTAGAATTCCAAAGATGATTTGAGATGAATGCAACTTTGCCATTCTAAACGGGCTAACCGGTGCCAATTTCCGCTTCCATCAGTTTGGAGGAGACTAGAAAGATTCACTGGGTTTTTTTTACTGAAGTTTGATGGCATGTAATCTACTGTTTTGGTCTGCTGTTTATGGGACTGACTAGACAGTGTCATGCTTCGTTAAGCTGAGCATTACCATTACGTTCGCTAAACTGCCCACTAAACTTCTCGCCTAACATAGATCTGACGTTTTCAGGGATAATTTCCGAGATCTGTTTACAAGTGTTCTCTTGGTGAAATATACTGAAATAGATGGGATTCAATAATATTATAATAAAATAATTCCTAGAGTGAGATTTGCTTTGAACGCTATCATATACTAAATCTATAGATTCGTAGTACGATAGCACGAACTTTTTACGCTTATTTACTTCAGTGAATTGTTACTGTACGATTGTCTTTTTCCCTTGAATTAATTTTAGTAAACTGTGTCTTATGAAGCTGGAATACTTTCATGATATATATGTAACTTTTACGTAAGTGCAATTATGTGCTCTTTTCTGTTATTCACTGCTGCTATTATATATACCTTTGGAGTAAAGAATTTTTAGGATGACTTTTTGAATAATCTCACTTAATGTGTGTGTGCGAGAATCAGAGGTGAGTTGAGTTTTCCACTGAATAGTCTTGTCTTTCGTTTCATACTAATCTGACTGTCAGATGTTAGGTTCACAGTGCTTGCTCTACACGCTTGAAATATAACCTCCAAGGTGAAAATATGCAGCAACCCTGCACGTTCGATCATCGCTGCTTTCGTAGAATTAGCTTCACTGTGTAAGTAATTTTGAGGGCGAACGGTGTGTGTTCGTATACAGTGGAGATCGTCTTTTGATAAGTGGCGTCTTGGAATGCCTGCTTCCCTGAATCTTGTGCCAACAGCTACCATATTGTTCACTGTTTGCTTCAAGGTTGGATAGAAGAAAGCAGAAGGCAGTCAGTCCACAACGTGACGCTGTGTTGAAGGGTAGTTGACTGACTGACTGCTCTCAACGTAGAAATTTGTACAGATGTGCAGCAATTCAAGTTGCCACACTCCCTCCTTGTACCACACAAAGCACGAGAAGAGAGACTATAAACACTAGTGTGAGCGAGGGAAAACGAAGAGTAATATGGAAGAACAATACAGTTTTATTAGATAATGATGAATCACAAAGAGTGGATGCATCTGTGCCATCATCGAAAACGAGGATTTTGAGCCGTATCACCAATTGTCTCCAGCCGTCGTTGGTTCTCACCATCCCGAAGACTCCAACCAGTCAGTCAGTCTACACCTTCCTACGTGGCTGGCTGGCTTAAACTAACTGTTATGGATTTGATTGACTGATGAAGCCATGTTCTCGCTTGACCACCACTGGCTCTTTTCCAACTTGATCCTATGTCAGCAGATAACATTGTCCGTCGTCGAGGAAGACGATGGCTAGACATGCATGCATAACACATGTCCTAACCGTCTCACTCAATCGATGTAATCGCTTCACAACCTCGTCGATTGCATTTCCCTCCTTACCTAGCACTCGACTGAAGCCTAACCTGTCACTATTACTCACCCTGTTACGCCTACTACCTAACACACACGGGAGATAGAAGGCAGACAGCTAGTATCAAAGACAGCTAGCCAGCCTTTCCATGCCTTCGACTTTCATTGGCGATGTCTCACTGACAGTGATAAAGGAGGACGTAGGGAAATGCTGCTGAGCAGTACACACGTCTTTTGATGGATAGCCAGTTGGATATCACGTCTACTAGGTGAGAGATGGCGTAAGTTGGTATATGCCAAATGAGGCTTCTGTGCCCGCGGTGAGATTTCTTGAGCGATCGGCCCATCGAGACTGGCTGATGCGACTTCCCACGAAATAAGTGAAGTGGTCAACACTCTCAGCCGCCAATTCACTCCTGCCTATTTTTAAGCTAGGAGTGAGACAATGTAGTCCATTCCTGTAGCCTCATCATCTTACATTTAACAGCAGGAGCGAATCGTATGCCAAACATTCTAAGATTGCTGCTCCTCAAGGTGTTCAGAAGGAGGGAGGACTATATCATCTGCATATTCTAAGTCAACGAGACTGTCATTCCCTGGTGGTAACAAGTCAATCCCTGAGTTGCTGAAGTCATTTAGGGTTAAGTTGATTATTACATTTGTGACGAAATTAAACAGAAATGGGGACACATGGTTAGGATCCTAGAGATCATGCAACTGTAGCTGAAGTTATGATCCTACATAGCTGAGAATCGAAATCATTTGTGAATATGTTGATGTTTCCTCCCTCCTATTTTCGATAGTAATACGAAGTAACAAGATCGAAGATATCCACTGAGTCATTATGAAGATAAACTTCGTTTGAGGAAATCTGCCTTATCTGTGATGTCATCTTTAAAGATAGTACACTCCTATTTATATTGACTAGAACGTATATCAGTATATTATTGAGTAGTAAGCATGTTCTTGTGTGACATAATTGGTTACAGTTACTCAGAAGTGGAATTAAGTAATCACCACCTACACAATGGAAGTAAAGGTTTTCGATTTGATAAGGTGGGAATTCTTATTTAATCAGAAACAAGGTGGTTGATTGTCCACTTGACAGGTGTGAAGGTGAGAGAAAAGAAAAGCCGGTAAAATGCACAAACGAGACATGCAATAGCGCTATCAGTGAATTACTTACTAAGGATAGAAGCAAACTGGTAGAAAGGAGTTTAAGCCCATGGTTGAGTAAAAAATTGAACAAACCTTCTCTTCATAGAGATTTCGAGGGTTGTGTTGACAAATAATCAGCGCCTCAGCCAAGCGTAAATGTCGAAACATAACTCCGCTTGTACTACTCAGCCTTACCTTCCCTTGTAAATTATTCTCAATGAGAATTTCAGTGAAGCTGTGTGGTTTGAGTTCATTCAGAAAGATCAGATTGAATAAATGGAAGAAAAGCTAAGACAAAGCCTGAAGAAGATGAAGAATAATGCACCAATCATCAACTCTGAATTATTAGAGCAACTACAAACCTCCGGTTCTACAATCCTCCGCTTATACGTACCAGTACAACCCACTCTTGGATATGTACAATCCACCATATCATACTAATGCTAAGTGACTCGCAGATATTTTTCTAGCAGTCAGAAGTCTATTGACTGAAATCTCGACATTCTAATGAGGCTCACAAAATAACAGTAGAAATGTACTGCACCAGAAAGACATTAGTGTAGTAAAGAGAATAATTCGATGCAGATTAGTGAAGTTATTCGAAAAATGACATAGAATCAATATGTCTGCTCCATTGCAAATGAATTCAAGTAATGTCACGAAAATTCTCTAGGATCAGGACCAGACAGTCTGCATCTCCTATAGCTCGGATCAACAATCAAAGACTTAGTGTGTGTCATGTTTTCCTGCGATTACCCTTATCTCTTTTCCTATCTAACCTCACTTCGGATAACATTGCCTATCAGGGGAGTGAGTGTCTTGATTTAGTTGCTCATTTATGATGGCGTTTATCAGCGACAAGCGTCCCAGTGGCTTAATGGTTTACGAGTTAACCTTGTAAATAAACCGGAAGGCTCTGGGTTCGAACCTCGATGAGTGCGTACTGATGAAGAGTCGCAAACTAGGATGAAACAGCTGTCCAGTACTCTCATCAGATGGTCTTCTAATCAATGTCAGCACATGATGAAATCCTATAACAAGGATTTCTATCATCATTTAAACAATAGGTAGTATATTTCACATTATAATCTGAAGGAACAACGGAAGGAAACGGCATTAAAGCTGTAACTACTTAATTCTCAGCATGTTTTATTCAGAAAGAATCTATTGTCTAAACACCATAGGAAAGTTGTAAAGACTGTATTTAAAATGTTTTTAATTATAAAGAAATACTATCCGTCATTTATTTATTTATTTATTTCCTAACCTAGATTTCACGTGAGTTACACATTATTATGGCAAAACTTTGATGCATATCTCACAATTATGCCATTGGTTGATTGTTATCCAACCAATAGGAATGCATCTAGCATGACCTTGATGTGATTGGCTGTGCGAATATTTGTTTACTTATCATCATCATATCATCATCATCGTGGTAAACAACATCAACATGCAAATCACATGATTTCTTATCATTTCACGATACTTTACTACTATTCATCTTTTATGAATTGATATTTTCTTTATTTTTGTATACAGATTGATTTTTAACTTTACATTAATATTACTTGTGTTCTAATGATTTTGACTACTACTTTGTTATTGCCTATATGATATTTGAATGAAGTGAAATTAGAATTCGGGGTTGTATAGTGATGAGATATTTATAAAAATGATTAATCTTATGCACTGAACCTTCTGAATTCCTTCTTTGGCTCAGTTTTCCATTTTAACTTCAAATCATGTATCCCCCCCCCACCCCACCCCAATTTATATAAATATACGATCAAATTATATGCCTTCTTCAACTGAAAGCGAATCAGTTAGTGATCACAGCAGCAAGCTCATCATCCCCAATTATACTAGTGATATTTTTCATTTACTTTTTTTTAAAATTATTATTATTCCAACGTTTCTTTTTTTTAAAAAAAATCTTGCATTTCATATTTGTGGATGAGTATATATACACACATACTACTTAATTGTTTATTATATATCCCTCCAAAGATATTTAAATTTATAAGGGTGCGTAAATACTTCTTAAAAAATTTTTGACTTTTAGTTTTACAATTTCATCATCATTTGTTGCCTTAATTTTGTTATCATTACAAGATATTTGTGATCCAGTTCGTCTTCTGATCTTTTAACTGTCGGTGTAACTTGTTTCACAGTTTGAACAATTGTTACTCAAGGCTTAAGTAGGTTAGATAATAACAGTAAGACTAAGTCTCCACAGGATAAGCTCTACCCACACACAGTGGTAAAGATGTGGGGATAAAGTCATAGTAATGATGGAAAGGAGTATGCCTACAACTAGTGTAACAGCAGAAGACAAGGGCTAGACAACAGATCGTTTATTGAGAAAATCAAGAGATATTTATGTATTTTTAAGTACATTATTATTAGCGTTATTGTTAGCAGAGAAACAGTGTCTTCTGATTGGTTGTTTTCTCACTGAATGTTATTCTGTGATTGGTTGTTGAGTTAGTCTTTCCTCTTGTTTTTCTCATAACCGCGATTTGGAACGTAAACATTGACGTAAATAGCTGTCTACCAATTTTGGCAGCTCTCACCACCCTAGGATGTTTCTCGTGATACCATGCATGTTCTGTCCGAGGTGAAAATATCAGCAAAGAAAGCTGATTCCGTTCCACTAAAGGGTTATTAGACTTCAGTGGATCTCGGTAGTTTAAGCCGAACACATCGATACGGAAAAAGTTACTTCGGTGGGCTCCGAACATGAGAGACGAAAAGTTTTCATGATGATGACAAAAGGAAGAGAAAACACATGATTACTTAGTGTCACCTATCGATCATTTAGACCCGGGTTGATCGCTGACGAGATCTCAACACGGATACAGAAAGCTAGTTTCGCATATTCCAGTTTACGCCGTCTCTGGCTAAGTAGATGTGATATCCGACTCGTTGTCGACCAAAGGACGTGTGTGCTGCTCAGCAGTCCGCTCCGTCCTCCTTTATGGCCAGCTGTGAGACCTGGCCATTGAGAGTGGAGGACATGATAAGGCTGGTCAGCTGTCTTTGATCATAGGTGTCGGCCTTCTGTCTCCCGTGTGAAGTGGTATAAAAGAGTGAGCAATATTGAGGTTAGGCGTCGGTCGAGTGCTAGGTAGGTGGGGGGGGGGGAAATCAATCGTAGAGGCTGTGAAGCTACATCGACTGAGTTGGTTAGGATATGTGTGCTAGTCATGCATGTCTAGCCATCGCTTTCCTCGACAACGGGCAATGTTAGCTGTTGACATAGGATCAGGTTGGAAAAGAGCCAGTGGTGGTCAAACGAAAACATGGCTTCATCAGTCAATGAAATCCATATGATTATTATTATTTTCTTTAGTTCCTAGAGGAACATAGGGCTTCAGCCATGCGTCTCCATTGCGTTCGGTTCTCTGCTAGAGTCTTCACCTAGCTCCAAGTCTGCCCACACGTTTTCACCTCCTCTTCACATGACCTACTGCAAGTCACCCTTGCACTGATGACCAACTCGCCGCTTCCCTTTTGGATTCCACTCGAGCAATGGCTTGTCTAGTGATGTCACTTGATGGTTTGTTTCCTCAGAGTATGGCCAGCCAATCCATCTCCATTTCTTCCTGCCTATTTGTTTCACAATCGGTTCCTGGTTGGTTCGCTCCCAGAGATGTTTGTTGCTGATCCTTTCCGGCCATCTGATCTTGAGTATTGAGCGAAGACATCTGTTAATGAAGGTCTGTAGTTTGTTTGAGGTGCTTTTTGTGACACGCCAAGTCTCTGATCCGTATAGTAGTACTGACTTCACATTGGAGTTGAAAATCCCGATTTTATTTTTGACGCTGAATGATGTTGACCTCCACACAGACTTGAGAGTAGTGAAAGCTTGCCTTGCTTTTCTGATTCTTGCTTTGATATCCTCGTCAGTTCCGCCTGTAGTTGAAACAATGCTTCCCAGGTAGGTAAAGGAGGTAGTTTCTTTCAGGTTCTTTCCATTTATGCTGATTGCTGTCTGTTGTTGTTGGTGTTGGCCAGGGATCTTCATCACCTCTGTTTTCTCTATGTTCACCTGGAGTCCTATCTTTGATGCTTCTTCTGCCAACTTGTTACTTTTCACTTGCATATCTTCCAGTTTGTGGGAAATCAGGCATATATCATCGGCGAAGTCCAGATCCTCCAAGTTCTTTGTGTGAGTCCATTTTATGCCTGTTTCCTCATTGCCCGCTGTTTGTCGCATTATCCAATCTACCGCAATCAGGAGAATCATTGGCGATAGTAGGCAACCCTGTCTTACTCCTGTCTTCACTTCGAAGGATTCCGTGAGCTTCCCGTTGTGGATTACTTGGCATGCAGCGTTGTCATACAACTGTTGGATGAGATGTATAATTGTCGGTGGCACCCCGTAGTAGCGAAGTAGTTGCCAAATCACCTCTCGATCGACGCTGTCGAAGGCCTTTTCAAAGTCGATGAAGTTGAGATAGAGAGGTGACTGCCATTCCAAACTTTGTTCAATGATGATCCGTAGTGAAATTCATAACAGTTAATTTAAGTCAGCCAGCCACGTAGTAAGGTATAGACTGTCTGACTGACTGGTTGGGTCCCTTAGGACGGTAAAATCCAATGGAGGCTAGAGGCAATTGGTGATATGGCTGAAAATCGTTCTCAATGGCTGGTGCAGATGCATCCACTCCTTGTAATTTATAATTTCCAGTGAAACTATATTGTTCTTCGTTATTACTATTCTTTTTGTCTCATATCCCTGCCTACTGTCTCTATATTGCATTTCTTCTCTTGCTTTGTGTGCTACAAAGAGGGAGTGCGGCGACTTGAACTGCTGCACATGGGTGCAAAGTTCTATAACGAAAACAGACAGACAGACCCCGTAAGAATACAATTAATAGATGTGCTAGGGTGATTGAAATGACCTCCGAGATATTTTTTTATTTGAAATCCAGGCAGTTATAATGAGACAATGAGAAATGATTTGTCGAAATCTAATGGCGATTTCAGAACTCAATTTGTTCACCTTTCTTCTAAACTGCACTCTAATTAGCATTTTACCCAAAACGGTAATGATAACAACGTTCAAATATGCTGCTTGCTGTTGAGAAAATTTTTTGCTCAAGTATAAAGATGACCTGACATCTAGAAAGTAATATACAAAATGCGTTGATAGTAAAGATCCCACTCCATAAACGAGTAATTTAGTCAAATGATCGACAGAGGCTAATACATCAATCAGTTAAGGACATGAAGATAGTCAATCAAAGTAAAGGCCACACATATACACAGGTGCTTTGGCAACTGCTTCGCTACTCCGGGGTGCAACCGACAATTATACATCTCATCCAACAGCTGTACGACAATGCTGCATGCCAAGTAATCCACAACGGGAAACTCACGGAATCCTTCGAAGTGAGGATAGGAGTAAGACAAGGCTGCCTACTATCGCCAGTGATTTTCCTGATTGCAGTAGACTGGATAATGCGACAAACAGCTGGCAATGAGGAAACAGGCATAAAATGGACTCACACAAAGAACTTGGAGGATCCGGATTTCGCCGATGATACGCAAGCGAAAAGCAACAAGTTGGCAGAAGAAGCATCAAAGATAGGCCTACGCTTCAGGTGAACATAGAGAAAACAGAGATAATGAAGATTCCTGGGCAACAGCAACAACAATCAGCATAAATGGAAAGAACCTGAAAGAAACTACCTCCTTTACCTACCTGGGAAGCATTGTTTCAACTACAGGCGGAACTGACGAGGATATCAAAGCAAGAATCAGAAAAGCAAGGCAAGCTTTCACTACTCTCAAGTCTGTGTGGAGGTCAACATCATTCAGCGTCAAAAATAAAATCGGGATTTTCAACTCCAATGTGAAGTCAGTACTACTATACGGATCAGAGACTTGGCGTGTCACAAAAAGCACCTCAAACAAACTACAGACCTTCATTAACAGATGTCTTCGCTCAATACTCAAGATCAGATGGCCGGAAAGGATCAGCAACAAACATCTCTGGGAGCGAACCAACCAGGAACCGATTGTGAAACAAATAGGCAGGAAGAAATGGAGATGGATTGGCTGGCCATACTCTGAGGAAACAAACCATCAAGTGACATCACTAGACAAGCCATTGCTCGAGTGGAATCCAAAAGGGAAGCGGCGAGTTGGTCATCAGTGCAAGGGTGACTTGCAGTAGGTCATGTGAAGAGGAGGTGAAAACGTGTGGGCAGACTTGGAGCTAGGTGAAGACTCTAGCAGAGAACCGAACGCAATGGAGACGCACGGCTGAAGCCCTATGTTCCTCTAGGAACTAAAGGAAATAATATACACAGGACTGGTTAAAACTCACTAGTTTGTTATGTGTATCAGGTTATAAACCAAACATTGTGATACGGTTTATGATACTACCCAGATTCAAGTAGGTTTGACCGGAATGCGACCTGTGACCCATTGATTAAAAGTCAATGAGCCGTACTATCACAAATGGTGCACAGTATCATCACCCTATGAAAGCCATCCTTCAGTCTTATATCTGTGTCCTGTTCTATATCTAATGAATAAATCAATATGGAGGGTAGCATATTTCATTGTAACTTACAACAAGGTGACGTGTCACAAAACATTTCCTTTAATGGCTGAATAAAGAACAGGTATGCACCATCCGAAGATCTATTTCGTCCAATATAGTTAATAGTGGACCAGATCAAAGTATTCATCATATCCCGTCGAATTTTTCCAATGATCTTCGTTTATTGCATATAGCTGAGGCTATCGGCATTTAAACTGTATGTATTTTCAGGAGAAGTTCGTACATCCAGTATACTTTCCTCGATCAATGATAAACCTGAATAAGCTATTTTACCATCACCCCTTTATATATTTTCAATCTCTACCTTAACAATTTGTTGATTCTTCCTTAGTTCTACTGTATCTTTATGAAAACTTAGCTGTTCCAATTCCCTTACAATCTGGC